GGGAGGCAGAGGGATCCGAGGGGAGCAGCGCCGGGTTGGCTGCTTCCTCCTGCAGAAATCTATATCTATAGCCCCMAAATGCATCCGGAATGCGCTGCAAGGCCGCGCAACGGGGCTGCGGGGAAGAGCAGCCTCCGGAGGGAGGTTTTCCATGCCCAAACCCACCAAAGAGCGCGCGGGAGCTGCCCAAGCAGGCGCCGCTGCACTTTGCAGGCACTTCTCATCCCAACAAACCCGCTCCGGGCTCCCGTTCGCGGACGGGCAARCCGAGGGAGGCGCGAGGTGGAGTGGAGCCCCGGGACGCTGCAGAAAAGCCCCTCAACGGGGCTCCCCATCTATCCACAAGGATCAAACGGAGCAGCCCCGCATCCCGGGGRCGCAGCCCCTTATTCCGCATGAGCAGCGCATTCCCTGGAAGCAATAAAAGCCCCTCAGGTCATTAATATGGAAATGCATTCCCGCTGCACAGCGAGCTGCTTGCGCAGCTTGGAAGCAGCTTGCCGCGCGGCGCTTCTCGCCGCTCAAGCCTCCCATTACAATGCTGATGATTTCTTTCCCGTTTGATGAATAGCCTGCCATAAATAGGCGCTGATTAATTGCGGCTGCACGCGGGCGGGCTGGAAACGCGGCGCTCGCCGCGATGGATCGGGATAATGGCCATGGAGAGGGGCTCGGAGGCGCCGGGAAGCCAGGTGGCTGCTGCGAGCGGCTGCGCCAAAGAGCCCTGCTGGCGCCCGCTGCTAATTGCTGCCCGCTTCCAAGGCTCGTTTGCGCTAATTGCCCCGCGTGGGGCGGCCGGGAGGGGCCAGGGCGCTATTGGCACTAGCAGGGCTGGAGAGGTGGAGGGTGCAAGGCCCAAAACTGGCGCCCGCTGCCTGAATGCGTCCCCAGAGCGTGTCCGTGCATGCACACGTATGTGCTTGTGTGTGCACATGTGTACCTGTGTGCACATGTATGTGTGCCTGTGCATGCACACGTGTGCCCGTGCATGCACAAATGTGTGCTTGGGTGTGCACATGTGTAACTGTGTGCACATGTATGTGTGCCTGTGCATGCACACATGTGCCTGTGCATGCATATGTGTGCCTGTGCATGCACACGTGTGCATGTGCATGCACAAATGTGTGCTTGGGTGTGCACATGTGTAACTGTGTGCACACGTATGTGTGCCTGTGCATGCACACATGTGCCTGTGCATGCATACGTGTGCCTGTGCATGCACACGTGTGCCTGTGCATGCACACGTGTACTTGTGCATGCACACGTGTACTTGTGCATGCACACATATGTCTGTGCATGCACATGTGTGCTTGTGCATTCACATATATGCCTGTGCATGCACATGTGTGCTTGTGCATGCACAAATGTGTGCTTGTGCGTGCACACATATGCCTGCACATGTATACATGTGCTTGTGCATGCACACATGTGTACGTGTGCACATGCACAGGTGTCCCCGTGCACACACACACAGGTACCCATACACGCACATGTGTGCCTGTGCATGCACACGTGTGCCTATGAATGGGCATCCATGCATGCAAACATGCACACCTGTGCATGCACATATATGTGATCATACACGCACACATGTGCCTGTGCACGCACACACGTGTGCCCATGCWTGCACAGATACCTGTGCATGCACACGTGTGCCCATGCATGCACACACGTGTACCTGTTCACGCACACCTGTGTCCATGCACACACACACCGGCACCTGTGCGCGCACACGCGTGTGTCCATGCATGCACACTGTGCACGCACACGCGTGTGCCCGTAACGCGCTCGCCGGGGGCTCTGCGGGACGCGCGAGCGCTGCAGATCCCGCCGCCCCCGCGGCGCCTCGCGCCGRATTAATAAATAATGCCAAAACATTTGGGTGTTTTGACAAGGAAGGGAGAGACGGCAGCGCCGGGGCCGTGCACGCAGCCTTCCTCCTCCTCCTCCTCCTCCSCCTCCGCAGCAGCAGGATCGGGAGTTGCCAAGGAAACGGCCGGGGCGGGCCGGGCTCGGGCGCCCTGGGATGCAGCGGTGCCGGCTCTGCTCCAGGTGGGCATCGCATCCCGAGCCGCATCCCGAGCCGCATCCCGAGCCGCATCCCGAGCCGCACGGACCCCTCTGCTCAGCCCACCCGCCCCCTGGCCGAGGGTCACTCGCGAACCCGTTTCCCGGCTCGTTTTGGGGCGAAACGCTCCCTTTTGGCTGCCGCGGTTTGCAAAGCGAGCGGAGACAAATTGCAGCAGGCGCTGCCGGAAAAAAACGGGGGAAAGATAAACACCTGGAAGCTGGAAAACGCCGCGGCTCCTGGGAGAGGAGGGAGGCGGTGCAAGRAGCGGCCAGGAAAGGGATGAGCCCGATGAGGAGCAGCCCCAGGGCCTTCCTCCGCCGTCCTCCTGCCCATGTGTCCCTGGAAGCAGGAGCAGGGGGAGCGCTGGGATGGGGACGGACAAGAGGCTGCTTAAAGCAAGAATTAACAAAACCAGACTAAAAGCTGAGCTGGCAGGGCGCCCGCCACGAGGACCGGGCCCGCAGCAGCAGCTCCTAACCTGCGCCTTCCTAAATTCCCACCTGCGCCTTCCTAAATTCCCACTTACACCTTCCTTAATTCCCACTTGCGCCTTCCTTAATTCCCACTGGAACCTTCCTAAATTCCCACTGGAACCTTCCTAAATTCCCTCTTGCGCCTTCCTAAATTCCCTCTTGCGCCTTCCTAAATTCCCACTGGAACCTTCCTAAATTCCCACCTGTGCCTTCTTTAATTCCCTCCTGCACCTTCCTAAATTCCCTCTTGCGCCTTCCTAAATTCCCTCTTGCGCCTTCCTAAATTCCCACCTTTGCCTTCCTAAATTCCCTCTTGCGCCTTCCTAAATTCCCACCTTCGCCTTCCTAAATTCCCACCTTTGCCTTCCTAAATTCCCTCCGGCGCCTTCCTAAATTCCCATCTCCGCCTTCCTAAATTCCCACCTTCGCCTTCCTAAATTCCCACCCGTGCCTTCCTAAACTCCCTCCTGCACCTTCCTGAATTCCCACCTGCGCCTTCCTTTATTCCCACCTGCATTCCAGAAAAACTCGCTCTCCGCCCCGCATCCCGTCGCGAGCTCCACAGCGAAGCACGGGCTCTCATTTCAGCTGGCAGCGCCTGAGAATAATAATTATCATAATAATTAGCGGGCAAGTTCACCCCGGCMGAGCGGGCTGCTCCGGCCGCTCCGGTGGCTCCCGCGCCGCTCGGCTGCCCGGGCCCGGAACGGGGCTCGGAGGGGAGGCGCGCGCCGCAAATTAGGCACAGCTAACGAGCTAATTAAGGCTGCGGTTGCGGAATTTTGGGAAGACGCCACGCGGGGAGGCTGCTTTCCCAATAGGGGCCTGCGGGGAGCGGGTGGGAGGCGCCTGCGGAGCGGGAGCGGGAGCAGGAACAGGAGCAGGGGTGAGAGCGGGAGCAAGAGTGGGAGCGGGAATGGGAGCAGGAACGGGAGCGGGAGCAGGTGGGAGGCCCCCATGGAGCAGGAGCGGGAGCAGGAACAGGAGCAGGAGCGGGAGCAGAAGCAGGAACAGGAGCGGGAGCGGGAGCAGGAGCAGGAGCGGGCGGGAGGCTCCTGCGGAGCAGGAGCGGGAGGAGCAGGACGAACAGGAGCAGGAGGAGCAGGAGCGGGAGCGTCTCCCATGGGATACCGCTCCTTGCGGTGCGCTGTGCAGCCCRGGCCTCCCCCTGCACCCGCCTCGCGGGTTGCCAAGCCCAATTCCAAGCTTTCCAAGCCCAGCTCTGCCTTCTCCGGACGTCCCTCGGCCCTGGGGACGAGAGCAGAGCTCTCCCRGCCAGGGGAGCGGGAGCAGCCGTGGGAACGGGAGCAATTAGCCGGATGATGTAGCACTAATTGGCTGCAGGGACAGCAGGCGGCACCGGGAGGCAAAGACGGGACGGATCCAATGGGATTCAGGTGGGCAGGACATCCCTGGGGAGAAGGGGCCRAAGGATCAAGTCGGACGGAGCCGGAAAACATCCACGTTTCCCAGCRGAGCTGCCAAGTCCGGCTCTGCTTTTCCAATGGGAAAGGCCGCTAGGGAAGGAGGCCGCTGTGGAGGGCACAGATGGGAACCGGGAATCTGGACTGCGGGCAGCYGCTTTGGTCTCCCCAGTGGAAAGATCCCACTCCTCCCAGGTCCTGGGATGGATCCCAGGAGCGCTGGCCCCCCATCCCCATCCCCATCCTCCTCATGGGATAACTCGGGGAGGGCTGGGAATGGGCCAGGAACCTGGCCTCATCCCTTTGGAAAAGCCCCTCGGCGCCGGGAACGGCACAGCATGTCCCGGAAGGCTCCCGGCCTTCCCACTGCTCCCGCATTCCCAGTGCTCACCGCTATCCGAGGTCACTTGCTCACTCCTCACCTGCCCGTCACCCCGGAGCTCCCTTTTTTTTCCCCCCTTTTTTCCCTTTTTTTAAAATCCATGCGTTGCTATGGCAACCCACCTTCAGCCGCTGCACAAGGGCCTTCGGCCTCGCGCGAGGCAGACGCAGGAACGGGCACAACGCTCGGGCGTCGCTTTTACGGCTCTCACCTTAATCCCAGCAGTGTTTAAGACCCGGCCTTTTGCCCAGGTCTAAATAAGAGGGCAGCTTTTAGGGCAAAACAAGCCCCAGTGCAGAGTCATCCTCAGGAAAGGTTTCACACGAGAGCTGGAAAATCCGGATTTGCAGAGCTGGGAAGAAACGGCTCCAGAATTGCACCAAAAGCGGCGGTTTTAGCTTACCTGGAATAACAGTTTTTATCAGGATTTAAATAGGGAACGAGACGGCAACGCAGGGAACGCCGGCCCCGAAGGAGAACAGCGGGTATGAGGAAGCAACTAGAGACAGAGAAATGCTGCAAATAAAGGGAATTTCCTTAATCCAAGTCCCGCTCCCATTTTGCCGAGGGGTTGGAGCCACCTCGGCTGGAGCCACAGGAGCTCTACGGTCGGAGGAGGAGAAGGAATCAATACCGGAGCCCTTGCAATGTTGGATTGGAGAGGGCTTTATTGTCTGCGGAAGAGAACGGGAACTCTACAGCTTGTTTGCGTCGGATGAAAGCTGGGCTTTTTTTTTTTTCTTTTTTTTTAATTATTATTCAGGTTTTATTTTACTAAACKTAAGCGATGCGGCGCAACCGGAAAACAATGACTTACAGCGTGGAAACCACGAGCGGATGGAGAGGAGCTCGGGGAATGAGCCTTCTAGCCAGGACGGAGAATCCCGGGGCCGGCCCGAGGCACGGAGTGCCGCTCCGGAGCGGCTCCCGGCCTCCGTGCGCCGGGAATTCCTGGCCACCAAGCCCTCGTTTGCGCTCGAGCCTTTGGGAGCGCGAGCAACAGGACGGAGCGGTGTTCCCAGCCGCGCCGAGGGAAGCTACAGGCGGACGCCGGCGCTCCCCAACGGACAGGCCGTTCCCGAACGGCTTYGGGCAGTCGTTGCTACAAACCAGCGGGCCGGGCTGCGGAGCGAACGCATCTCACGGGGGATACCGGGAAGCGGAGCAAACATGCAGAGGGGTTGGGAGCTCCTGCCACCAGAGCGCCGGAGTCCACAGGTTGCCTTGGCTGCAATAAATACTCCGGAGCTCTCCCGTGGGAAGCGCTGAGGTGTCACCTTCAGCATGGACAAGTCCTCGCCGAGGGGCCCGTCACCAGAACTCGCGCAGCCGTGGCGGGGCCCGAGTTGTGTTTTCCAACATTCTCTCCGCTCCGGAAGGAYGCGACTGTCTCGTTTGGATGCCGTTCTCCCCCCTGGCTAACCAGGCACCTCTGCAGGCAAAAACCATCGTGTCAGGTGCCACAGAAGATACCGAGATATGAAATGAGCTTTTTTTTTAACTGGATATGAAGTTCATCTGGGAGAGTGCAGGGTTGGAGTGGGGTTTTTTTCCTCCTTTCTTCCCCTCGCCCTTTCCTTTCTCCGTGTCGCCAAGGCACTTCACTCTGTGCGGAGGATGATGTGGATCCCTGAATCTGTGAAAACCGGCCCGCTCATCTCGCCGGCCCTCAGCGCAAACGAGGCGTCTTCGAAAGGCTTCTGCATCTGCCCTGCAGCGAGGAGAAAGCCYAGTTAAGCCCGGCGGAGAGCGGGAGCTCGTTGGGAGCCAGCAAGGCTCGTCCGGAGGCAGCTTCCAGCCTAGCAGCCAAGCGCCCCGTGGCTCGGCGCCACGAGGAGGTTTTGTTCACCGCCGCAGCGGGGAAGGACGGCGGGAATCTGCTCCGGCTCCCTGGCACGGGGGTGTTGGCGGCTCGGGTGCCCCCCGGGCACGCGGTGGATGCGGTGTGCGTTACAAGCTGCGCTGAATAATTCACAGGGCGCCCGTGGCTCAAGTCGTGACCTAGATAAGGGCTGCTGCTCCGGCTCCCGCTCCCAAGCGCCGCGTTCCCGAGGCTCGGGAAAGCCCGGGGCTTGGAGAGGGAGCTGCGGGGAGCGGGTAGGGAGCAGAGCCAAAGCYGCCCTGCGAGAGGCCACGGGGACCGAGCAGTGACGAGCGGCCGGCCTTGGAGCCAAGCCACCAGCCCGCTCCAAAGGCTTCCAAAGCGACACCGTTTGGGCCCAATTTGCAGCACAGAAGCTAGAGAATCCGCCAAGCCTGGCCGAGGTCGGAGCCTCATGGCCGGGCTCCCAAAACGCGGCAGCGCCCGGGAGCGGATCGGAGCCTTCCCGAAAGCACCGCGTGGATCCCCCGTTTACACCGCTGCTCTGCAGCTCTGGGGACCGGGCGGCACCGTCGGGCTCCACGCTGGGAGCTGGCAGATGGATCAGCCAGCGCAGGACACACTAACCTCTCCGGGATCGCCGCTTCCCAGCTCCTCCGGAGCCCCGGCGCATCCTGGATGCATCGCATCGCGCCAAGCGGCACCTCCACAATTCCTACGGGACTCTGGGATCCACAGCCACCCACACCCATTTCCTGAGGCACCGCAAAGCTCAACTCCCGTTTCAGCATTAGCTGCAGCAGCTTCTGCTCGATATTTCCCCAAAAAAGCAGGGTTTTTATTACTGAGTGACCTCATAGGCAGGGCTTTGCAGAGCGCTGTTTCTCCCATCTCAGCATTCCGACCTCGTGCCAGGCAGGCTCCCGGGCAGTGCCACCCGCTGCCTCCCACCTTCACTCTGGGGTTATTTTCCGCTCGGAGCCCGGCTCTTCCGCAGCCTCTTTGCCATGCCACAGTGGTCCTCCCCAAGCAAAACCCGGCTTAGCCGCGGCTTTTCGTGGAGATGAATGGAAACGTTTTAATAACTTCGCCTCCAAAGCAAGCAGCGCTCCGAGTCCTAATAAATTACATTTTCAGGCCAAGAGAAAAGAGGCAGAAATGGCAAATGACAYTCACGGCTCTAGTGTCATCTAGTGGAGGCTGTTTCTTTGCTTTTCGCTATAACCAAGAGAAATCTCCATGCTTGGACCTCCAAAGCCCCTGGTAAACACACGGGTTCTGATGAGCCCGTGGCAGCATCCTGAGATTAACGGCTCATTATACAGGAATATCGCTGCTCAGCACTTTCCAAAAGGAGATACCCGAGGGAGCAGCTGCTGCTTTTACCACAGCACAATTAGGCTCTGGAAAGGAACGGGAATTTAAAAGGTCCTGGTGGGAGATCACGACCCACRCCGCTGAAGGTGGGTCCGGTAAGCCGGTGCTCTGCAGGCAGCGGAGGCGGCAGCAGCAGCCCCAGGGCCCCTTCKGCACTTATCTCTGTAGCATCAAGCCCGTTTTTGCCTCATTTACCCCGGAAATAGCCCGTTGAAATCAATCAGGAGCTGTGCTGCAATTCCCAAGGTGTGGATGGCCCGGTGCAACATCCCAGTGTGCTCTCTCCGACAGGAACCCCTCTTCCCATAAAACATGAATATGCGCCCTCGCTATTGAGCCTTCCCGGCTTGATGGCATCGCTGCTTTCTGKTTGGCTCCTTGTGTGAACGAAGCAATTCCCAAAGCCTCGTGATCCACGTTTCTCCCTCTCCCGTCTCCAGGCTCACCTTGTGTGCCCACAAATCTCGTTAATGAGGCGCATCCGAGAGTTTGCTGCCACCAATCCCTCCCTGCGCTGATCAATAAGCCTGTAACAAACTCCCTCACCAGCCACGTTATTCGGGGGAACTGTAAATTGCTCCCGTTCCTACAACTTGTTAATAGCTTTCTGATTTAAGATTAGAACGGCAGGTCATTTATCCGGTGAGCCATTAGCCAGCCTTACCCACTGCTTTCTCCTTCACCGTCTAGCACAGCTGCATTTCCAGGCAGTGTAGCTGGAAAACCCTTTTCCAGAGGGAAAAGCCCATTCCAGGAAGGGCACTTGCACAACCCTCTCTTCATCTGCAATAATATTTGGGCTGCATTACTTGATTTCACTTCCACACACTTCATTTCCTGCACAGAGGGCTGCCTAGCACACAAGCCCATTCCCACCTTCATTCCCCCCCATAAGCAGAGTGCAATATTCCCGCCGGGAATGCCAGCTCCGGAATCCCGGTGCCAAACTTACCTCTTCCAAACGCACCCAGGTCCCCTCCCGCTTTCGCCGAGCTGCAGTCGCTGAACTGGGAAGCAAGGGATTCAAAGTCCTCTTCTCCCGATTTTATCTTCTGGATGTAGCCTGTGGATACAGGAGACAATTCAATCCTTGGCCCGTGCAAGCCACTCCTATTTAAGCTTCTAAAAAAGAAAAGATTAAAGAGTAAATTTTTTAGAAAAGGCTGATTTCACCTATCAGTATCCCTTGAAGTATGGAAATTTACAGCTTCRAAATGCAGGAGTTTCCGCCCGCAGCAGGTTCACCTTGGTAAACACCCAAGCATGAAGAATCCCAAACGGGTGAATTATTGATGAAGACGACTTATTTTGGAAGGTCGATGGAGAAACAGGCAGAGCCTAAAGTGAGAGCTCTGCCTGCTGCTCCGGGGCTTCTCCGGCACCGCGGAGCCGCTCCGGATAGCTCCTGGATCCGCTCGTTGAGAAAACCAGGAGATAACAGGCATTTCCCCATCGACGGCTCCACACGGATGGTTTCATGCAAGGATCTGATCCTGGTTTTYTCGAGCTCGTTTGCTGAGAAAAGCACCGGGCAAAAGGCACCTCTGAGCCACAAGCACCAGGATTTCGCTCCGTGGGGAAAGTCCTTGAGGATTTTCCCTGGATGCCCCAGGATTTCGCTCCATGGGGAAAATCTTCCAGGATTTTCCCTGGATGCCTTTGGTGCATGCAGGAACCAAGCGAGCAGGGAGGTTTCTCCACACGGAGGCTGCTCAGCCTCCTGCTTGGAATAACTGAACTTCCCAACGAAGGGAATCGTCACACGCAAAGTAAAGGATTCGTCCCAAAAATTCCAGCGATGCCCAAATGAGAGAGGGCAGTGTTTGATGCAAAATATGAAGAAATAAGCAGTTCCCAGATGGATTTAATACTAYAAACCTCTACAAACCTGTGGAAGCCCCGAGAGATAAAGAAATACCTGCTAATGAGGGAACTTCAATAAAATTCATCTGCAAATTAAATTTATGACTTTATGGCATAAAGCGCCAAGTGCCTTGTGCTTTCCAAACCACTAAAAAGCTCAAATAATTGAAATGACTTTGCTGAGGTTTTTTCCTCGTTGCAATCAAGCCAAAAGGCCAAAAAACACCCCTAATCACTTGATCAAAAATGATCAATCGTGCTGGTTGCTGCAAAGACGTCAAGACAAGAAGCAGCAGCACCTGAAGGAGGAGGCTACCTGGTTTCCAACAAAGAGTTTTATTGCAGTTTAATTGTAGCATGACCAAAACTAAGTGATTTTAAGTCTTCAAACGGACCAAAACGAAGTGATTTTAAGTCTTCATTGGCCTTCTATTCCTTCTTTCCTCCCTTATTCCATCCTATCTTCTTAAACCAGCCACCACTGACCCTGATCTTTGCAATCCAGCACAGTTTGTAACTGTGCGGGTTGTATCTTCACCCAAACAGGGCTGTTGTACAAACACCGCCAGGAAAAACACTCTTAAAAAGGGAAAAGGAAAATTATATCTGCCTCTAGAATTGCTTTTTTTAACAACACTTCTGAATATAACTCAAAAGCCCAAAGTTGTCTTAAGTCTTGAAGTATTTAAGCTGCCTAAGCGACCCTGTACTCGCTTATCTGACCTCCTGCTTATTGTGCACAGGTGGAGAAAGCCAGAAGACTACATAAAATTTGGAAATTCTATAAAATAATAATAATAATGTTAATCTTGAACGTGTATCTGCATAGGAAACTGTTCCTAAGAATCCCACGTGCATGTTTTAGAACAGCAACGGATACTCTTCATCCGATTAAACTAAGCTCCTTGAGCATCAACAGTCTATTTGCTGACAAAAACAGGGTTTATCCCAAAATATGGATTTGCAGCACAGTAAGTGCGTATCTAATTACACGGAGCTGCCAGCCCCTGGCTAGGACCTGCCACATCGGAGCACGTCACGTCCAGGAGCGTCAGGAATTGACGTTAAAAAGCACCAAATCACCCAAATTAAGGATCAAACCGTTGGCCTTCACGTCCCAAGTCGCCTGCATTAGTCACGTCAACAGGTAAAAAAGGTTCCTTGCAGAGTGAGCAACAACACCCTGAAATAGAATTTGATTATTAAAAGTTTCTATTTTTATGGCAGTGCCCAGCCTGGCAGCAAAATCTACCGGTCAGCGAGAAGAACATTTTTATGGGCAAAACTAGGATTGAGATAATATGGGTAAAACTAAGATAATTGGTTCAAGTCCGAGAACAAGAGATTGGCTCCGAGAGCCTGAACTTCAGCTCTGTGAAGTGGGATTAAAAAGCATTTTTTTCCCCAATGATCTCAGCTATTTGGAGCAAATTTCTCAGTGCAGATGCTGCCTCAGTTTTTATCAAACACCTTAAAAAATTGCAGGCATAAGTGAAATTGAGAAATGGGAGATTAACACAAAAATAGTGAGGTGAAAAAKAGCAGTTGGGTTGTGCTAAAAGAGGGAATATCCGGGAAACTTTGGGATGAATCCCGGCCTGATGAAGTGACTGTAGGAACATGGGGACACTAAGGAAATGGGCGAGTGGAGGCTGGAAGGCCTGAACGCTGTTGGAAGAGCGGATCGGAACATTAAATGTGARCATTAAATGTGARCATTAAATGTGAACATTAAATGTGAACATTAAATGTGAACATTAAATGTGAACATTAAATGTGAACGGGATGACCAGAAATTGGAGAAAGAGAGTTAAATTGCAGCAAGTGGAGTCATTTACAAAAACTAGGATTTCTTTTACATGCCCAGAGCTCGACGGGAAGGTGAAGGACACCAATGAGCAACGAAAACCAGCTACAAAAATGACCTCGCAAGTGAGAAATGCAGCAAAAAATAGTAGTGAACACCCCATTACAGGGCACTGCCGAGAGCTAATCTGGAATATTGTGCACCACGAAGCCCCAGCGCTCAAGGAAGATTAATAGGAGCTGAAGTAAGTGCAAAGAAGGAGCAGGAGCGGCGGAAGGGATGACCTACATTGCTGGAAACTAAAAGCCTGGTGGATTTAATTGATGAGAAAACGCTAGGAAAGAACAGGGCTCTTTGTAAATCCACTGGGAGGGCGAGAGCAGAAAGGAAAGTGGCTGAAAATAAACAAAACAACCTAGAAACTCCAAGCCGCTGCCTTGCTGCCGCAGGAAAGCCACGCGCGGCACCTACAACTGGGCAAATATTAGCAATTAACCCAAATTTACCAAATCGGTCATCTCCAGGACAGCCCTCCCTGCTGTGGAAACAAAACTACCAAATCCCTGAGCAAATATGATGCTTTACTTTTTTTTTTTTTTAATATATATATATATATGTGTGTGCATGTGTGTGTGCAAAAAAATATATATTATATTATTTTATATATATTACATATATATTATATATAATATATATTATAYAATATTATATTATTTTATATGCATATATTTATAGATAACTATATAAGATATAATATATATATTCTTAATATATATTTTATATTTATGTATGTATATATATAATATATATACACATATATACATATATATACATATATGTGTGTGTGTGTATATATATACATATATATAATATATTATATTATTTTGGGGGGCGTATATATATATATACACACACACACACATATATACGTATATGTATATATGTGTGTGTATGTGTGTATATATATATATATATATATATATAYAYATATATATATATATATAAAGAATAAACAACAGAGTGTGATCCTGAAGGGAATAAGCCAAACCCAGCTGATCTCCTGACCTTCCCAGGAATCGGGTTTACCAAGGACAAGTGGGGATGTTCACAGAAAGACTTTTGCCTTGTTAAAAAAGGCAAAAATCCTTTAAAAAACCCCTCAGGAAGACCAAAAAAAAAATTAAATAAAACAATGATAACAATAGCAGTAACAAAAATAAATCCTTAAAGGCCTTGATGGAGGACACATGCAGAGTGTTTATATGACGCGAGCTCTAATCCCAAGTTTCTCCACAGAAAAAGGACTAACTCCAAAATTTAACTGATAACGAGAGGGCTCTGAAGCTGTCGATCTGCATTTTGGGGCTAAAGGGGAGAAAAAGAAGCTCAACTTGTATCTGGATCTGAGAAAGGACAGATGAGAACGGTTCCCTTCACAGCCTCGCAGCAGCCAAGACCTCTGGCACCCAAGATAAAGAAAAGCACCCAAACAAGCTGGAAAGGGGTAACATTTGCTAAAAAACGTTATTTAGGCTGCTGGGGATGAGCAGCTTGCAGTGTGCAAGCCCCCCAAGCAGCYCGAYGGGGCACGGGCTCCCGAAACACTTSACGTTTGCCCAAGGGAACTTCCCAAATCCAAACCGTTCCCAGTTCCATAGGTGCAGGTGGGAACGCCCAACGTTCCCGTTTTAGCACTGGGAACTCCATATGAGCATTCCCTCCATTGCCTCAGCACAAAAAAATGCCCCAAAAAAGGTCTATCYCCTGTTTTACTGCCCTCAGTTGCACTTAAACACCTCGAGTGAGACTAATCCCTGAGAAAAAGCCCATTTTTACCAATTAACTCCATTTCCCTTCCAAAAAAGCTGCCCCGTACCTGCTGGTCACTGCCCAAGTGCTCCCAGGTCCTCAGCAAAGATGTTTTCCCCCCAATTTGGGGGAAAAGGCTCCAAGGAGGAGCCCTTAGCATCCTCTGCCCTTCATGGCTGAAATCATAGCAATAAATATACATAAATCAGTAATAAAACAGCTCTGGATGAGCACCACATATCCGTGGGCACTCCCAGATCCAGCCAGGAAGGGCAGAGCTGCCTCCTAAAGGACACGGCCCTGATTTCAGTGACGAATCAGCGGGACGTGTTTGGAAATGATCTCCCGGCCCTTATTCCTTAGGGAATTCCTCAGCAAGCCCCAACGCGCGGGGGAAAACCTGAGCAGATCGGGTCATTCATGCAGCCCCCGGGCAAAAGGTCTACAAAGCACCAGGGTTTCGAGCAGAGCTTAATCCGAATTGACACCAACTGCCACTGGGGCAAAGAATCAAACGACATGTTAAACGGGGAGAAAAAAAAAAATAAAATGTTTAAAGAACATTTGTTTTAGCTTTAAACAATTACTTTATTTTAAACACAAAAATACACGTTTACAAACGAAATACAAACAAACCTCTGGAAGAACATGACAAAAATGACAACGGGGCGGGGAAGGCACGTGGGGTTGCACCTCTCTTTATGGCAYTGAATCGCAGCAAGTCGCACGGGAAAACTGCTTCCCCAGGCGGTTTGYGACACGGAAAATCCACGTCCAAACCACTTGGATCAACAAATCCGGTTCTAGAGGGTCGGCGCCGCGCGGACCCGACCGCCTCCGGGCTTTAAAAGGCGCTTCCCCCTATTTTTTTAGCATCCCTCTCTGCTCTCCGCTGGGTTTACTTGCCGTTTATCAGCTCCAGGGCCTCGTCCTTGCTCCGCGTGATCTTCTCCTGGCGCCAGGACGAGGGGCGCCGCGACTGGTTGTGCTTCACCAGGAGGTGGGAGCAGCGCACGCGGGCCGGCTCGCCGGGGCCGTTGCGCCCGCCGCTCGGGCGCTCCCACTGGCTCGCGTTCGTGAGGTGGTTGAAGTAGTAGACGCGGCCTGCGGAGACAACRCGCGGCGTCACCCCCCAAAAAAAAACCCAAAATCCCTCAATTCGGCCACGGGGAGATGAAAAATTGGACAAATTTGGAGGCCGAGTGGAACCGTTTCCCCCGCGGTGGGTTCGGAGGGGAAGGGGGGCGGCTGAAGCGATCGGTTATCCCGCCAGCCCTTCCCATCCGGCCGGGAAATTCCCACGGATCGGGGTCAGGATCTGCCCTGGAGGGCCTTATCCTAGCGCTGAAAGGAAGCCAGGGCCTTTGAAAACACTCAAAACCACCCCAAATTTACCCCCCCGCCGCCAGACCCCC